TAAGAAAAAAAAACACTGATTCCTTTTTTAAATAAAAAGTTTCTAAATTTTGGGACAGTAAAAAAAAAACTCTGATAAAGAGTACATTTATATTCATGTTTAAGCCAGAATGATTTGACATTTAAATATGATTTCCCTACGACTTTAAAGGTCCAGCAGGTGTCAGTATTCTGTGGGACAGAATCAATGCAGCATCAATACAGTTTGGAAAAGTTTCAAAACGCTTCAAGATGCCTCATTATCCCGTCTCTATCATTTGGAGCAGGTTCTACCTGTGTGAGTCCTCATGTGGACTGTGAGGTAATAACTGGATCGGAAAGATTTGCCGCAGTAGTTGCACTCTTTGGATCTGAATTTGGATCGCTCCACGCCGTCTTCTGAAAAAATAAAATAAACACAGTGAAATCATGAAAACGACCAGGAGAACTTGCATGTAATTCCCCGTCCTGTCAGCAGCAGCTCCAGATTTACCTGTAATCAAGTTTTCCTCCTCGTGCGGCTCCTCCGCCGGCTCCTGTTGGGGCCCTCTCGGCGTCGGGCTCTCTTCGCCGCCTCTCTCACGCTTGTGGATCCTGGAGTGAAGCACCAGCTGGTGATAGGTCCTGAAGGTCTTCTTACAGTCCTCACAGGTGGTCGGCTTCTCTCTGTCTTTGTGATTCTGCATGAGCGACCTCCGCGGCGGGTTTGAGGCTTCTGGAACGGTCTGCTGCTGAGACCGCAGCTCTCTCCCCAGCGCATCTTTGGCTGCTTTCTCTCCCTGACCTTCTGACCATGAAACGCTCATCTCCTCCTTGTCAGAGCAGCAGTCTTCATTGTCCGTGCTGAGCTCCTGGCCGATCTCTTTAGTATTATTTGGACCGACGGCTATCTTGCCCTTTGTGGCGAGCTGCCATGCTTGATATGTAGTAAAGGGATCCAGCTGGGGAATCCATTTGGATGATCTTGTGTCGTTTAAACCTTTATGCGTGGAGGCAGGCCAAAGCTTGAGGCTGCCTAAAAACGCTTCCTGTTTAGCTAAAGGGTCTGTAGCACCTTCAATCTTCTCCATGACTTCATCTTTCCCCAGCTCCGCCTCTCGGTTGTGATTCTTACTGTGTTCTGCCAAACTGTCATGGTCGGGGAAGAAGAACCCGCACACCATGCACATTTTGTAAACAGACACGACGGGCTCCGGGGGCGGCGCTTGTGTGACGTCGTTGATGGTGAAAGGGGCCTCCTGGTCCAGGACGGCCTTGCTCTTCGGCCCCGGTCTCACGTGCATCTTCATGTGGTTCTTCAGGAACCAGGATTCCCTGAATCGCCGTCCGCAGACGCTGCAGCAGTACGTAAAGTAGTCCTTGTGTTTCCTCATGTGCGCCTCCAGCTCACCGGCGTCTTGTGCGATCTGACCGCAAACGATGCAGCTGGGCGCCTCCTCCTTCTGTGCGGGGAGGGCGCCGGGTTCGGGCCGGGGTTGTCCGCCGGGGATCCTGAACTCTGCGTCGACCCGCAGCACGGTGGGCTCCGAGAATGTAGTGGGGTGTTGCGCCAGCACGTGTGGGCCCAGCTCATCCTGACTGCTAAAGATTTGGTCGCAGAACATGCAGGATAGCTGCAGGCGCTCAGTCTCTACGACGACCTTCAGAGCACAACTGTTCTGAGGCATCATGCTGCAGCCGGGTCCTGGGATTCCTGCGTTGTTGCTAATCAGGATGTCCTGGAGAAGGCCGTCCGGGCTGTCCACAAACGGCAATAAGGAGTGAGTTGGCATTTTCCTCTGGGGTTTGAGCACACTATCCAAAAGAGGAACCTAAAAATAACATCAATAAAACTTGCTTAAAAATCAGAAAAGGTTTTGGTAAATGGTTACACAGAACTGGCCTATAATCAGCTTTAAATACTTAAGAGAACCATCTAATACTGAAACAGGAAACACATCTGTTTTAAGCAATCAGCTACACAGACAACTCATTTCCTCTCAATACAGACCACTGATTAAAACTTTGTTTCTATATGCCAAAACAGCGGGCATACCTATTATAAGACAAACCATCTTTAGCTATTTTTAAACTGCATTATGCATCATATAAGCTGGAAGAATTCATGTTAATACACAGCATGGGAGCACATTAATGCAAGAAGAAGATTAAAAAAGGTTGTAGCTGAACAGGGAAAAGTCAACTGCTGCAAATTTATCAACAAATAATAATAACATCTCAACTAAATCTTAATCTAATTTACTTTGTAACAGAAGTTCTATTAATACATTTTAGAAAAACCCTTCTCTCCTGCTGTTACACTGGATGCCCCCTAGGAGGCGCTTGTCCCAATTTCAAACCACGTTTCACCTATTTGCCTTTTCCTGCCAGTAATACTACTCATCTACAAAGGAGAAGTCTTAAAATGCATATTTATCATCAGCTTATTCATTTATAGAAGAAGGCTAATTGTTTTATTTTAATCAGAAAATGTCTAAATGTTAATAAAAAGGCCAAAAAACAAAACAAAACTCTGCTAATAGATGAGGATCTATCATTGCTTCAATCAGCTGATCATTGCTGAAACTGAATCAATAAAATATTTTACAAAACTCCCCCAAAAACTATCAAATACTACAATAACCTGCTGCGTCTTTAAATAAACGTTAAAGTTACAGACTCCTAGGATAACGATGGAAAGAAAGTACAATTTTAAATAATTTCAACTTCTTTTTCTTACATGTTGGTAAGAAAACATGTAAGAAAGAGAAGCAAACAAGAAGAATGCATCAGAAAAGGGTTCAACTCTTACCTCTAATGAATACAAAGATTTTGTAGTTTTTTTTTAACGGCGACGATGAATAAGAAGCTGAATTTCACATATAAAACTTGACCTACGACTGCAAAGTTCAAAAGGAGTGCAGAGGACATCTACTGACATAAAAAAAACAGACTGCTTCATTGGAAAAAAAAAATTCAAACCTACATAAGTCTTTTCTTTTTTAAATAAGTGAATTTTTTCTTGAATTTTGGAGGTAAGTGAAACAATGTGCATTTAAAATAACAAAAAAACTATTTTGTCGTCTTATTTAAAGTGTATATTGTCTAATTACCTTATTTTAAAAGTAAAAATCCTCATTCCTTTGGCAAATCACCTTATTTACCTACTCAAATTAGGACATTTTGACTTATTTCTAGATCGTTTTTGCAGTATTTATACTGTATACGTAAATTTATGTTCTACTTTGGTTCGGTTATGAAAAATGCTATTTTTAAAGCCTAAATCCCTAATAGTATTGTCGATATTCTTTAGTCATAATTACTTTTAAAAGTGTTTCTGGAAAAAAAGAAGAAAAAAAAAAGGCTGCATTGTTTGTAAAACAAGCATAAAAGACTAAATAACCTTTAGGCCTTTTCCTGATCTGACCACTCCTCCTATAGCAAGTCAGTTTTTTATTTGCTTATTTATACATTTTAGTTGCCTTTTATAAAGATGAGACATATTTAGAATAGAAAACCAAACAAACATGATTGTTTCTGCATATTTTAAAATAGGGCTTGACTCTAAATTTGTATTCGACTATATTTAATTTGCCTAAAACCTCCCAGAAATAAAACAAAAGCAAATCTAAAGAGTAAAACCCAAATTTGCTGCCACAATTAAACCCTTTTAACATAACAAATAGACAACTATTTATTAAAACTTGATAAAAGATCAATCAAATCAGCATATTTAATAAAGTTATGAATGTTACTGCACCTTTAATTAATTGACCTCTGCTTAGACTTTCGATAACAAGCAGGAAATTGAGCTTTTTGTTAGTTTCTTCTGCTTTTTTTTGTTTGTTAAGTAGTCACCTTGTTAATCCAAAGAGCCCAGATGTGGTCAAAGAGGGACCCTGAACCTTCATGGGGGGGTGGGGGGGTGGATGATGCAGTTAACTTTTTAACAGCTGAGACACAAACAAACGTTGCATTTAATCAGAGCCACTATTACGCTTCTATATGTGCATTATTATCCGAGCACGAGGAGCTCATTGGCTCCTTATATACACCTCTACAGGTTTAACGTTTTAACGTCAATAAACCGAAAACATGGAGAGAAAAAAAGGAAGAATTCAGTTCAAACAATCACGACCAAAACGACGACGGAAACATTTTAAAACAACAACAAACCTTCTAAGGTCGCCGACATAATTCATGAACCCGTCGCGTTAATTATTGTTTCTGTTAGAAGAAACAGTTAGAAAACTAAAACTACTTTTACTTTGTTTTCTTCTTCTTCTCTTTCTGTTGTATTCGACTGCGAGGAAACTGTAGAAACTCACCAAACAATACCTACCAAGGCAGAGTTTCCGGATTACTATTAACTATAGAGATATACAACAAGCCAGAGAAGGAAGGAGTGAGCCGCCACGCTGCTTTCTTTCTTTCTTTTTTTTTTTTTTTTGGGGCTGCTGCTGTTTGTGTCGGAGAGCTTCTTCATTTCACGCAGCGCCCTCTCTCTCTCTCTCTCCCCCTCCCTCCCTTCCTCGTGCGTATGCGCGCGCGCGCGTGTGTGTGTGCTGTTGGACGGCTCACCTAATCAATTGTTTGAATGTGAATCATATTTGCTCCCCTTGCTTTCCTCCTCACTCTGTGCAGCTGTTGACTTCTGACGCGCGCGCGCTGCACTACTCATAGGGGGGAAAAGAGCGCGTGCACGCGCCCCCTCCTCTTCAATAAAAAAAATCCACGAGTCACGTGGTCATAAATAACAGAAAACTCCTTCTCTAAAAAAAAAAAGTTTTTATTTATTTATTTATTTATCTATTTTTAATCGTTTTTAAACATTACCTCCAATAATGGCGCAGGTAGGAATTATTAATTCATTTATATCTATATATATGATCACAGTTATACCTTTATGTGGTGACTTCTGTTGCATTGTTTGCTGCTCTGATGTTTTAATTTAAAATAAAAGGGGATAAAAATATCAAATTAGTAAAATAGTGGGTTTACATAAAAGCTATTTATGTGACACTTTGAAGGTGTAGCTTACCTAAACTGTAGTCCTTCCACCATTTTCATGTCATGCATCAGCTACCATGAGGAGGTGGGGGGAGGGGTGCCTTAAACCTTTCACTGTTACATGAGGTTTCTTTCTTTCTTCTTTTTTTTTTCCTTTTTCTGATAATGCAGATGTAGAAGTAGGCTGGCTGGGTCGTGGGAAATTTCTTCTTCTACCTATTTCACCGGTGGAAACCCAATAAGAGATGTAAATGCACTTCATTGTGATTCCAAAACAAAGACATATTACTGATATACTTCCCCCATATGGTGTAACAGATAAAAGATAGTTTTTTTTTCCTCTCTTTTTTTTAGCAAAACAGTATAAATGTGAATATATCAATGTCATATTCACCAACAAAAAGCACAGGGAAATCACTATTGCAACACAGATGCTCTGAGATAAAGAAGATCACATGTTGCCTAAAACTTGCCCCTCCTCCACCACTAAAAAAAAAGTTTCCAAAGAAGACATTGATGTAAACTCAACATATTTAGTCAGTGGAGATACTGAGTGGACTATAGTGTAAATTCATTATGGAGACGTGCTCTCCCTCCCCCCCCCCATAGAGGAGGGAAGAAAAAAGAAAAACTTTGTAAAAAAAAAAAAAAACCTCTGTAACCACTCCCCAGTAGAACATGGAACAAAGACTCTATTTGACAAAACTATCTGAGGATTGTAGCCTTTAAACTCCCTGCTGTTTTGCCTAGATATTAAAAGATGTTTGGCATTTTCTTTGCTGCTACCTTACAGGTTTGGACCGTTGCTGTCAACCGTGTAGTGAAAACACGGGTAGGTGTGCAGGTCTGGGAATACGCCGTCATCAAAATGTGTGACTGAAAATAAGAGAGCTGTTTTGTGAGACTTTTAATGATTTTCATAATCCAAAGTTTCCTAACACCAAAGATAAGGAGAGAAAAAACATTTTAAAGCATGTTTTAAAGACATGTATTCTGCACACTGCAAAAATAACCCAAAAATACGTAAAAAATGTCTTAGATTAGGTGTATTTACCCTTAATTTGAGTGGGTTAATATGATTATTTTCCAATGGAATGAGTATTTTTACTCTTAGAATAAGATAATTAGACAATATGCACTTGGAATAAGACAATGGAATTGTTTTTTTCTTATTTGAAATGTAAATTGTCTCGCTCCATTGGCAAAATGCCTCACTTACTTCCTCAATTTAAGAAAAAGGCTCTTATTTTAAGAAAAAACGACTTATCTAGATTCAGATTTTTTGCAGTGATATTTGAAATAAGACAAAGCAATTGTGTTTTCTTATTTTAAATGTAAACCGTCTCATTCCATTTGCAAAGTGTCTCACTTACCCTCTCAATTAAAGAAAAAAATAATTTATTTAAGAAAAAAAGACTTAATTATATTTTTTTTTCCCCAGTGCATGTCCTATAGCTTTGCACTGGAAAAACGATCTAAAAATATGTAAAATATATCTTAAATTAAGTGTACTTACCCTTAATTTGAGTAGATAAATGAGATAGTTTTCCAATGGAATGAGTGTTTTTACACTTAAATTAAGATATTTAGATAAAATGCACTTGAAATAAGACAATGCAATGTTTTTTTTCTTATTTTAAATGTAAATTGTCTTGTTCTCTTTCGCCTCATTAATCCAAGAACAAATGCACTTATTTTAAGAAAAAAAATGGCTTAAAATGACCTTAAACCCAAAAAAACAGCGGGACAATGATACACCATGTCTAAAACAGACCAATTAAAACAATTATAAACAAAAAAGTAAAGTTCAAACCTAAATTAGCTCCTTATTCTCAAAAAAAAAAATTTGATTTAGAAAATTTAGCAAAGCAGGGAGCGTCAAATTCCTCCACAGTGACACTAAAGACTCAGAACTATTTACTGCAAATGGTTTAAGACACTTTCCACCACAGCAGAGGGCATAATTAGCTACTAGATTCAGTTGGCAGTTTATTTTTCCACAGTTTGTTCGCTTTTTCAAAATAAATTAAATTATTTAAAATCTGCTCTTATCTTTTAAAAACTACTTAAAAAAAACTATGATCTAAATCATTTCATAACACACTTTTCCACTGTACATTCCAACACGCCGACAAGCTTTGTATTGTTTTCTTTTTAAATAATTTAAACCTTTAAAATCTGTCCACGGCAGAAATTATGCTGTAAAATATTCCCTTGTAACACAGAGTCACTCTCAGCCTCTGAGTCAAATTAAAATATCTTCCTACACCCTGCAATGCAGTGATTCAGTTTTCAGGGTTTCTTCTCTTTTTTTTCGCCTCACCCTCAGATCCTGTTACACAAACAAGTCTAGCATGTTAATCAAAGACACCACATGTGACACGTCGAGGCCTCCCGCTCATTTCCTATTGTTCTGGGACCACAAAGGCTTTGAGAAAAGCTATCAATCTAAGCAGCAAGTGTGATCCCTCAGGACTGCAAAAGTGCCAAAAAAGAATAACTTTGCTAATTATTTAAATATGCTCCAGTAGCAATAGGGTTGTGGTTTCATTTTCCTTTAACTGTATGAATAGGAATGTATGATTTATTGCAGTTAAGTGGAAATTCATCCCTGTATGTGTTGGTAATGACATCAACAAGTGGCAAACAGTGTTTACTTTGAACTGATTGGATTAACTTTGTGTTGCTGCCAAACTCTTTTCATGTGTTCTTCACTAAATAAAAAAATCATGTTGCAGAGCAGAGAATAGCAGTAGAATCGTAGCTTTAAATGAATGAATATGCATTGAATGGACACCCACCCTGATGGGGGGGGTGGCTTGTTTTTGTCTCGGCATGTCAGCAGCAGCTGACTGCATTGTTGTCCTCCAGATTCGCAGTCTGGCTTCTTTCATAATCCTGGTGCCGCTTCTGAAGGACACTGATAATATGTAATCTCCTTTCTCACCCCCCCTCAGCCTAGAGATGTTTATTCAGAGCTACGGGCTGTAGAGTTATTGCTTAGAAGGGGAAGAGGACTGGAACTAGATGTCCTTCATGCAAAAGTTTACATCTGAAATATTTCTTTCATGTGGTGAAACTGTGTAAATGGGCTTTTTTGTTATGCTTCAAGGGCCGTGTTGGCATTGACTTTTTTTTTTCCACTATTTGTGCCACCGTGACCTCCCAGTGATAATGCACAAGTCACACAGAAAACAAACGATGCAGAATAAGCAAAGATAGCACTTA